TACATTTGCTGTCATGTTACCCATTTAAGCCGTCTCCAGCCATTATATGGTGAAGATGTTTTCCCAAATCTAAGAATTGCATTGCAGATTTTGTTAACAATTGGGGCTTCTATTGCTAGTTGTGAAAGGTTCTTCAGCAAGCTGAAATTAATTCTTACATACTTGAGAACCTTAATGACTCAAGAACGACTTAGTAGCTTGGCAATATTAAGTATTGAAAAGGATTCTGCTGCAAATGCATCAATTAAACTATCAAAATTTAAGGTATTAAGTACTGGTTACATTATATGAACCTTTCGTGCTTTTGCGAATACCAGAATGCTACCTGTACAAGATATAGTTAAGTATATGTACAGTTTTGTAAACTAATAAAATTTGTTATTTGTAAACTTAAGTAGTATTTTATCAATCTGTTTTATAATCCATGTATACCACAAGTGACTGCTTCTGATATTAAACATAAGTTTCAAAACTAGGGATATAACATAAATTTATTCTGCATGCTTGAAAGATTGTTCTAGCTATGTGACTTTGAATAATACTGGATGACATAAATATCAAAATGGCTTAAAAATTATGTAAGTACACCTAGTAGGCTATACTTCATTAGTTCCATGTTTACAGTTGTGATATCGTGAAATGTTATATTGTGACTTTATTTTAGGCCTGTGTAAGGCGGTAATTAATTCTTTATGTTATTGTCATTAAGTGGGTAATGAGTCACAAACAAATAATCAAAACATTTCAGAGGTGGGGGCGCCAAAAGTGTCTTTGACCGCGGGTGCTGAGAACCCTCGCTACGCCACTGCATGGCATGAGGAAATAGAAACACCATGATGTTCCCACGTGGGTCAGCAGTACGTTTACGGATTTGCAATTTTAAAATCCAGGTTTCGATTCCTCGTGGTGGCCAGGGCGCAGAGAGCCTATTTTGTAGCTTTGCACTAAAACAAGCAAACAAACATATCTTGAAATGGAAAGGGAGCCAGGGTATCACAACTCTGCCGTAACCTGGCCAATCACCGGATAATTTTATGAGCCCCATTAAGCAGGTGTGGGGTTATCCTCGGTCACTCTCTGTTTTAGTAAACCCACTTCCATGGACTTCCTAATACAGATTATGTGCCAGGAATGGGTTGCAATCCACCGGGAATGTTCATTTCGCCCTCGCAATGCGTAAACGCGTAGCTGCCTTGCATAAGAGAAAAGGCTGCCCCACAAAGTATTAACCCACATATAATTCGCAAGTGCTATGTATGGTTACAGAATGAACTGTTTTTTTTAAACTGGGGGTGTCTATTTACTTTTGTCAAGTCGCTGTATACAGAGCTAGCACCAGGTTCTTTAAAAGTAACCAATTACTATATAAAGACTTGTTTGCGAAATTATAGGTCATGATGAAAGTATAACCTTTAATAGAATAGTAATATCACATTAAAAAGCTTAATTCATGTTGTAGAAACTGCAATAAAAGGAAAAAGACAACAGTTTGCGATAACTCTTCAAACACAAAATTTCTGGTTTTCCTCTTATTATGAGAAGTTTCAGATGCGCTGGTATCAGTGATAAGACTTATATACATTCTTTTCTCACTACAAGGGCCACCAGAGGGAAGCGAGCTTTGGGGATTTTTTGCATTTTTACTTGTTAGCGTTACAGTCACAAAGTAATCGTCAACCTGCTAGAAGAACATTTTAGAAATAGATATCTTGAATCAAAAGGCTTAAAATGCAACAATCGTTTTAAAAGCTCATCAGTTAAAACATGAGAAACTGCTTCCTTTGACTAATCAATCAGTGTTAACTTTTAGAGGAAATACAATCTCTAGATATTTGATTCAAACAGGACCTTTAATTGTAATTTTTACCAACATTTCACAATCATCGTCATCTAATTACTGAATTAAAATGTTTAGAATATTTTAGTAGGTAATAGCCTGTATGATACCTTTGTAAAAAACCTTCGAGCTACCAGTTCATTCTCTATACAATATTTCTTTCTCTTTCATTTTGTTTTATTAGTTAGTTATTATCTGTGAAGCATTTAATACAGTTATATGTGACACACTGTGTTAGGTTTTGTTTTCGATTTTGCGTAATATTGCTTTCATTCAACAGTGCAAATGATGAAAATTAGAGGTCTCTGATAAACAAATTTAATTTTAGCGGTGCTCGACATTTTAACTTTCCATTCATAAACAATTACAGGTTATATATCTGTTCATATGATGGTTTCAGTGATAACTGGAGAACATTATCTTTGTGTGCACGAACTTTAAGGATCTACTGCTATAACTTATTTTTATTCTTACGACATTCTTTTAATTTTCTAGTTAAAATAGAAACGTTTCTTGTAGTTCTAAATTGCTGATATACATATATTTTTGAAATAGCGTAATAAAGTAAAAAGTTATCGAAACAAACGCATGTATAAATGAACCATCGGCTAGTCGATTACTCACCGTAAAATGTACAAAACGTCTTTTTTCTTAGGAAATTCTCAAATACGAACATATTTTCAACATCATTCACACGCAGCGTTAATGTTTCATAGTAAAATGCACTAATTCTTGTATCTTAGAAATGGGAATCCAAAGACGAAAAGATCAACAAGATGAAATGATGAAATTGCAGTGATTACTTTGTAAATGGACCAAAAACTATCAGGACTATTTGTTATTGTTTTTAGAAAATGTTGTGTGTATCTTCTTCAACGATTAAGTGTGATTCTGAACTGTTGCATAAAAATCAAGTTTTCTGTTGCGTGAAAATTCACCCATTGCGCAAGACGACAGAGCAAAATGAAGGAGAAAATATTTAAAAGTTTGTTAAAATTCATACTAACGACAGAAAGTGACTGTAAAGACATATGGTTTCACCTTCTGACGGAATTGAACAAAAGTGAGCGTTAAGAGTAATTTTACAGATCATAATAAATATATTGCAGCCTTCACAGTTCACATTAAAAGCCCCACGTCAAACAACAAAAATCAGCCCAAATTATTCTGTCCATCATATTTAGAATAAATGAAATATGCTTCTTGTCTATCACACCTGTGACCATCTTTAACTTGGCCGATCTGATGAGGACAAAGACAGTTTTGATTGGGTACAGCTGTGATGTCATTTGCATTTAGAGATGTATGCGGCCACATATGTAGCTTATGTCTCAGTTGGATTGTATTCCGATTGTTAAAATACTATTGTCCTGTAGCCTGCCTTCGTGAAAACGATATTGTAAGCAAATATATTATTCTATCTCAACTAATACTATATTAAAAACAGTCTCCAACTTCGTATTACCAATACAAGAACGTTCAACTAAGTTGCGATAAACAATGATAATGGGTTTCTTTTGTGAAGATTTATTGGTATTTTATTATACCCTTTTCAGTGAGTAAAGTTAATGGAATTTAACTAGGATTACTACATTTGATATATTAATACATACCTAAGACAGTTACATCAAAATCTGTAAAATAAAAAGTGTTATTATAATGCGTAATAAAAACAAAACAGATTATTTAATGATGTACTTAAAGGCTAATTTAACAACGTTTTTATTTAAATAATGTTTGGACTTATAAGTTCTCGAAAAATAACCTTGTTGCTACACATTACCCATATTTCAAAAACAAAATCTTAATTTTAATTACTAATATTATAATACTTATTATTTGAATTACAAATGAGAAATTATCTTTATTTATTCATTCAATCTGTGCTGTAGTAAAGAGTTAGATGTTTTTCTTCCGAGAAATTCTCCTTTGAAAAAGGTCATAACTTTTGGCCACCAGAGTGTGAAATATCTTAATGAAGCCGCTACAAAGGATGTATTTGTGAGGGAGAAGAAGACAAACAAATATTCCTCCCGCTCTTTAACTGGCATAAATACAAAATAAAACTTTTATATCAAGTGTAACTAAATTTTGCCACCACATCTCTCAACCCCATTTTGGTCCTGTATCCTGCCGAAGGCCAGTCATTTGTGGAAAACTAAAGCAATAACATAACACAGAACTCAGATTCTCTCAGTCTATGCATTTGCTCAACCCGCAACTTACCGATGGCGTCACACATTGTATGATACTGAATAAGTTTATGTGTTGTGCTTGCTACAAGCTCAATATCAATAACTGACGAAAAAGGTTGGTTAATATCTCTCATAATATATGTAAAATGCTCACGAAACTTCAGCAAATATTAATGATATCAATAGCAGTGATTACTTGTATTAATATCTAAATGTCATTATGTGACTCATTTGTTATTAGGAATGCTGTAACCAACCTATTCATGGACCCAATTTATTACACAAATAGTTTAGAAAAATGTTTTTTAAAATAAGATTGAGCACATGTAGCCCTCTATAAATTTAGGTTTAATATACTTTATGCTGATTTCATAATTATACTTCTTTAATTCACTATATAAACTTTACTGTTAATATGTTATTAACCTATATTATCTTGTGAAATTCTTGCTTCATAGCAAAATTTTACTTATGGATTGTCCAATATGTATTGTTAAATCCTTAGCTTGTATTTTTTTTTTAATTCATAGGTTTTAGTTTCTGTTTTCTAGATATTCTAAGTATTGTCTTAAAGAAATACACAGCACTACAATTCACGCAGTTTGTTACCCTAATATGTGTTGAGTGAGGAATGGTTGCATATGAATCTGGTAATGTTTATAGTTGTCATGGATACGAAACCAAACATCTAGATATAACTAGTTTGATTGTTTAACAGGTAAAAATATGGTTCCAAAACCGACGAATGAAGTGGAGGAATTCCAAAGAACGTGAATTGCTATCCTCAGGAGGATCACGTGAACAAACCTTGCCTACAAAAACTAACCCTCATCCAGATCTTAGTGACGTAAGAATTGAACAGAAAAACTCTTCCTTTGAAGATGAGGTCATAGATAAAAGTGGCGAATTTCTTCCCTCTAGTGGGCAGACTAGAGGATCAGCAGGCCCAGACGAGAGTAATGAATCTGACATGGAGTCGACGGCGGGAAGCCCCCGAGGGTGTGAGATGGACAATGTAGATGTGTTATAAAAATCTTAAAAAGGATAAAAATATTTAAGGGAAGTAATTCTTTAATAGAGTAAAAAAAGACAGTGAGTTATAAGAGTTCAGTTTATGTCGTGAGTCATCTGATATAGAAAAGGACATACACCATTTCGTTTTTCCGAGTATCCGAAATGGAATAGAGACTGAGAAATCAAAAAGAAAAATCTGAAAACCAGTCAGAAACTAAGAGTGACATGATATACATATTATGCATGACAGTGAAGCTGCTGCTAAGGCAACCATGACCAACAAAAAGCAATGAACCCTTATTTTGTAAAATTGTATAAAATACATGCTCTAAAACAAATATTTCGCAAGTATTAATAACGGAAACAAGATGTAGATTTTAAATTAATGTTTGATCATATAATACTCGGAATGTATTCTCTAGTTATAGTAAACAGAATTTGATAAAGTTTAATAAAACTAGTATCAAATTTGTACACGTTTTTATTATTTGTGAAGGTTTTATGTTATACGGAAGTATAGGATGCTGGTTGTGTCGTATATAAAAATCATGTTTTTTAGAAATTCATTTTTCAGTTTAATAGCAGTGTCAAAGGAACGAAAGGAAACAACCTAAGTTTTTCTACTACCGACTATCGAATTAGAGTTGATTATTAATATTCCACAAAAACGTTTTTTTCTTATTTTTTATTTTAATTTTAATTTTAAAAGAACTCGAAACCGTAACAATTGTTTGCAATATGCATAATTCTAATAAAAGACATATTAAACTCAACTCAAGCTAGAAATGACAGATTAATTAAAATATACCAAAATTCACAATAATGACTCTTTGTTCCACGTTTTTAAGAATTGGGGGCTTGGCGACCAGTGCACGGAAAGAAATGTAATAGTTCGTTTCGTGCATAAAGAAGTCAGTAATCGCGATATGAGGCAATTAGTTGCGGAAGTTTTAATTTTTCGGCGTTTCTGAAGCGGAAAATATGATCTTGCTGTAACTGAGATTAGAAGTTTCTTGTAGATGCTACGTTTAGCGAGGCGCAAATCAGGAACGGGGTAGCGACTCCAAGCATATGCTAATCGTTTCAACTTGAAAACATGGAATCAATCATATTATTCAACTTTCGGTGACGACTTCATTTTCTCCTTTCTGGGAACTGAAGCGAAAACGTTTCATGTGCACGATATTGAGTTGAACTGTAGAATTATGCATGTTTCTCCACACCAATAAGGCACAATTACACTATACTTGTTCGATTTCAGGGCTGGAATCTCGCTATCGCTTCACGCTATTTATGCGATATTAATAAGACGAAGAAGGGCTGGAATATTTAATTATAACACTTTATAATTATGTTACAAACAATTTTGTGTTTAAAGTAATTTGTGAATAAAATCTGAGCGTGACTGTGAGAAAAAGAACATTTTTCTAATTGGTTCTAAACTTAAGAATGTTTGATATATAATTTGGGGGGGGGAGGCTCAGTTTCAAGCATTTATGTAAAACTAACTAAATTTTGTTGTTTTATTTACAGTGTTAACTTTCTACGTCTTACAAAATTCGTGTACCTACTTTACATTATTTCAACAATGAACTGTTTTTGTTGGATCATCCAATTACAACACGACGATCTCAGTTTTTCAAGACCAATACAGATATATTTATGTACAGCTTCCTCTATACTAAACCTGGTATATGTAACTCAGTACGAGACGAATCGCTGCAGTGTTTCTATTTTGAAACTTAATTACTTGTGAAAACTTTTTAATCTTCACTGGCATTTGTTATACAAAAGTTCGAATGGTGAAATTTAGTGTCAGCTCTATGATTCTTTAATTAAGTAGAAATATTTTTGTTGTCGTATTTTGAATGTTATTTCGTATTATTCAAACGAATATTCGAATTCCGTGTGATATTTCAGGTAAGAAAATTACTTCAAAAGCATATAAGTTCATCTACATATTATTCGAATGATAAAAACAAAATGCTAATAACATATTTCTAACCCACACCTTTGTAAAATGTCTCTGAATGTTTCGCTTACTGAACATACAGAAATATGTTGAGTGATCTTACAGTTCAAGCAAGATTGTTATGACTTTGGGATAAGTGATTCAATTCCGTTGACTTAACAAGCAACTCTAGATTAAAATGAATCACTATTTAGCAAAAGCCTGATAAGAGAGTTGTTCTTTTTAATTAATATTATGCTGAGTGTCAAAACGTTTACCCCACGGTTGTTCGCTATCCTCTTATGGCTGTTTAGTTAAGCGTCAAACTCCTCATCTGTGCTGTGTACTTTGCAGGGATTGAACATCAATTTTTTTCATCGTGCAAGCACTCAAGCCTAATGCTGTGTCATCGTTGGAAGGTCGAAATAGTAGATAAATGATTACAATGGGAAGCTTGACCTAAGAGAAAAAAAATAGTTCATTAAAAAAAATTAGATGCAACGTGACCTTATTTGTACAGTACAGCAAGCACTTACACTAAATTATTAATTTATGATATAGTGTAATAAAATACACTTTTGAAAAACCTGAATAAATAACACTGATAATCTAGAAAATAAAGCAAGTCAACTATACTTGTTAATTTCAATAAACACATAGGTTTGTTTCAATAACACTGATAATTAAAGGACATGACAACAAAAAAGCACAAAATATCTTACATCTTTATGTTCCTGAGAACATTTCAGAGCATTTTATCGGTCGTTTTGAACCTGAAACTAATGTGTTCATGAATGAAAAGTGTCCAAAAAGAATGTAAACTTCTAAACAATGTAATCGTGTTTTATTTTATCAAATGTCAACAAATTATAATAGCAAAAATACAATTAAAATTAAATAGTACAAACAAGACATAAAGAAAGTATGAATATAATGAAATAAGAATTCTTCTGAACTAGAAATTAGCAAAAGTTCAGACAAGATTAGTCAGAAAATATAACTCATCTTACGTTGATAATTCACTAAAAACTTAATTCTATTCTGTTTAGACTAAAGATCAAATTTCAGATAATTACACGTCTAGCTAAGCTTTTTATGGTAAATTACACACCAGCTTCTAATGAGTATGTTTGAACAACTAATACAATTCTACATTTATATTTCTTATATAAAACTCATGTTTCATCATAGCTCAATATGCTATCATTAATAGTAAAATAGTAAAATCATAGACCTAAGAATCATACATACTTTAACATTTGTTAACAAAACTTCGAGATACAGTTAGATACTATTTACGAAACTTCAAATATCTTAGTTTATAAAATACTAACCTACAACTCAATATAATAATACCTGTGGTATGTACTTGTTCTAGCATGTTATTAGTCAAATAGAATAAATCACCGTAAAAAAAAACATAATTTAAGTATGTGAATAATGTTACGACATTTCGTCGAATTCATTAATCAGAGACCTAATGATATTTCTTTGGTTTGTTGACCCAAGCTGTGCTGATGAGCCTTGAAAACTGCAGTCCACAGTAGAGGGTATGGCCAATCAAAGAATGCATTAGGCCTCTATGTCACAGGTTCTCTTTTTAATTTCATCTCTGGTGAAAAAGAAATCGTTATCATATATATATATGATCCGAGAAACTATGCTAATATTGCCCTTAGTAATATCATTTGTCTATGAAGCCTTAGTAACACCATCCACTTTTGTAAAACGTACGCAATATATAAGCAAAAGGATGACGTTGTAACGTAGAAACGTGTAGAGTCGTTAACTTTTTGAAGGCCATAGATAGGCCTAAATAAAATGTTTTTAATTGTGTACCAGTTTAACGTTGAATATTATTTATGATTTTAGCAGATTTATAGTTTTACTTATAAAACAAAATTTTAATTATGATAATTGTAAAAACAACGTTATGTAAACTATATTAAATTATTAATTTGAAGATTTTCATTGTTACTATAAAGTCGATGACACATGATCTACAGCACCCTCTGGTGATTTGCTCGCGAACTATCTGCACACTTATCATACCAACGCGCCTTCTAGTGCCACTTCGTGATTCTAGCAATGCACCCTCTGGTGAGTCACTCTCGTACTATGATGCCACCTTCCCTAGCAACATATCTTCTGGTGAGTAGCACTCAAACTGAAGATTTTTGGATACTACTTAAAAGCTGTATAATCCTTAGGCAGCATCTTTTGTTTATTATGTAAAACTTGCGTAATCCCCAGGTGTCAGCATAACTTAAATATTACGTAATAGGTATGTAGCCCTAAGACGGCATTCTTTGTCTGTTACGATAACTGTTCAGTCACAAGTGAAGTTATTTTCATCCTCAACGTTTCGCCTTACAGATTTTTCAACTGGTGAATTTGTATTTTCTTCGTTTGTTGAATTTCTCGCAAAAATACTCAAGGGCTATCTGCATTAGCCGTCCATAATTTTGAAGTGATAGACAAGAAGGAAAGTAACCAGACAACAACTTTGTGTCAACATAGACAAGAAGAAAAGTAATTAGACAATAACTCTTTGTCAACATAGACAAGAAGGAAAGTAATTAGTCAACAACTCTGTGTCAACATAGACAAGAAAGAAAGTAATTAGACAATAACTCTGTGTCAACATAGACATGAAGAAAAGTAATTAGTCAACAACTCTGTGTCAACATAGACAAGAAGGAAAGTAATTAGACAATAACTCTGTGTCAACATAGACATGAAGGAAAGTAATTAGTCAACAACTCTGTGTCAACATAGACATGAAGGAAAGTAGTTAGTCAACAACTCTGTGTCAACATAGACATGAAGAAAAGTAATTAGTCAACAACTTTGTGTCAACATAGACAAGAAAGAAAGTAATTAGACAATAACTCTGTGTCAACATAGACATGAAGGAAAGTAATTAGTCAACAACTCTGTGTCAACATAGACATGAAGGAAAGTAGTTAGTCAACAACTCTGTGTCAACATAGACAAGAAGGAAAGTAGTTAGTCAACAACTCTGTATCAACATAGACATGAAGGAAAGTAATTAGTCAGCAACTCTCTGTCAACATAGACAAGAAGGAAAGTAGTTAGTCAACAACTCTGTGTCAACATAAACAAGAAGGAAAGTAATTAGACAACAACTCTGTGTCAACATAGACATGAAGGAAAGTAATTAGACAACAACTCTGTGTCAACATAGACAAGAAGGAAAGTAATTAGACAACAACTCTGTGTCAACATAGACATGAAGGAAAGTAATTAGACAACAACTCTGTGTCAACATAGACAAGAAGGAAAGTAATTAGACAACAACTCTGTGTCAACATAGA